TGTCTCAAAACCAGAATCGGCGAGCCAAGCACGAACCCTGTCGACAGTCTCCTCGCTAGGAGCGAACGTGTGGGCGACTTTAGCGGTGTCCCAGTGTTTGCCATAACTAGAAGAAACTGGGTCAGAGACTTCGTACAGGAAGTCTTCGAGTTTGTCGAGGTTAGATTGAGTGAGACCGAAGCGGAGGGGGATGAAAGCGGTGGGAAGATGTTTGCGAGAGCGTTTCCACCCGGATGGAATGGCATCTCGTTTCTCGTGGACAACACGAGGAGTGTTGGTGGCAGCGATGGGGTTAGCCAGTACAGAGACTGTGGCCGCGAGGGCGGCCAGAGCAAAAGAGAGTATAGGGAGCATTGTCCCAGCCTTTGAGAGCGGTGAAGGCGAAAGTCTACGAGGATGTGAGTCTAGAGGAGAGACGGCAACTCCTTTATAGCAAGGCACAAGTTGACATCGCACTGCCAATACCAAGGCGAGGAAATACAGAAACCGTTTTGATTAGGTTCAATGCATACCTGGCGTGAGCAGGCAATTGTCGTCCTAACGCCCACTCGAATCGCGATCTGGAAGAGTTCAATACTAGGCTTTGGCCAAGAGATTAGATCAAAAGAGGCTGTACACACCAGGGAATCACCTGAGTGGCCTCGAGCTAGTAGTCAACCACTGCATGAGAACCATTTCATCCTGACATCGATAGGGTTACGTTGTGTGTCTTTTACATCATCACGGCGATACACATGGAACGTCTATCTTGATGTTGCTCAGCCCATCGCCTGAACATACCCCCAGAAGATTCGTTGGGACTCCTCGGGCTTCAGATTGGGATGGTTCATGGAGAACAGCACAACTGACTCTGAAAAAACCCATCGATGACGGGCAGCTTGGGAACAAGGGCTAGGTTTCGGTGTGGTGTTGATGAAAGTTAAACGTCGCCAAACCAATCCAAATAGGGTCTGCGCTGTGGCACTGCCTCTGCCTTTGTGGGCCTCCACAGCTGCCTCCACTCTGCCTTACCTCCAATGACCGCGGGTTTGGTCTGCTGAAGGCTGCCGCAACACCCCTCACCCTTCAGTGGAGGCTGACATCCCAGAAGACTGAAACAAAGAGAGGATCTTCCACCGACCCATCCCCCAATTAACCTGCATAGCCTTGAGGCCGTTATCGGAGTACTTTTAACTAGTGGTTGAGATTGTGATCCGGGGGCTGCGTCTGTCAACACGAGAAATGATCCGCTCACCTTAAGTCTCAGGGATGCGGCTGTTCTTGGGCTTTGAGTGGATCAAACCACTCCATACTTCGGACCTGAGGGCCATCACGATTGGAAGCCGCCGGTATGAGCGGAGGCACACACCGAAACTTTAAGGACGAAAGGTTAGACTTGGACAAGGCTGTAGGATTTGATGTTAGCCAAGGATGGGGGGGAAGGGCTTTCGGGACCGATTTCCTACCAGGGAATGAAACCACCATTGAGGTGACGAGACGGATGGACATGTGTAGGCCTCGATGATGCAATGTGGGCAATAACCAATCGATTTCATGAATGAAGGCAGTGCTCAAGAGAAACTGCTGATCGATTGGCTCGACTGCCAAGGTGAGTGTTTCTTTGGCATTGACAACTCCGTCCAAGACAACTCACGACTGAGTGAGCACGAGGAGAAAGAGGGGTGACGTTTGACTGAATAGACAGTGGAGAGCGTGTGATAATTGTGGGGGATTGATTCGGATTAGTGCGAGTAGGGCTACACATTAAGACCGAAGATCTTTCGGTGCTGAGATACAGGAGAATCGACCTAATGGTGTGTAGGTTTTTTGCCTTTGTGACACGGTAGATAGTCAGCGATACCCTCCCCGGGAGATGTTTTGGACAAAAAACGGATACACGAACAGTCAAACGGAATGAACTCACCATCAACAAACATATTTCTAGTGGCAGAGGGTAACTGAGCGACCATCCCATCCAACTCCTTGGTCAGACACGCTTGACATCCCAATCTACTTGTATCCGTTAATCCAAAGGCCATATCCAACATATCATTCTCGTCATCGGAAGGTTTAGGTAATAAATTATAGTGTTCTGGGGTGAGAATGACGTGACATGTGGAACATGCAATCGAACCCTCGCATGCACATGTGAAAACAAAAGCCAAGAAATGTAAGACGAGGCCAAGAGCAGGTTTTGAAGTGAATGGGCGAGTATGGCTAAAACGAACCTTCTAAATCAATATCATGTTCGTGCGCTATTGAAAGCAGCTCATCGCCTTCGTTGGCTTCGATAGTCTTGATTAGAGTCCCCTTGGTATCTTTAAAATGCACCGCTATTCTGCCATTTCAAGTGCGGGGAATGCATCAGTCAATTTACAGGTATCACAGGGACGAGGTAGGGGAGACGGCGTTTTTGGTTTTGGTTAGCACGATGAACAGGGACGAACTAGGGTGATAGAGCGTACCCAGTGCCAGGTTTTGGTCGAGTGATACTCCCATGACGGGCAACTACAACCGTACATATCAGCATGAGGTCGGAAAGGACGGTGGGGCAGTCCACTGGGGTTTATGATCGAGATTCTAAGAAAACTCACTGGTTGTCGTGTGTATCCCTCGTGTGTATCCCTCTCGAGTGTGGGACTCTGCCTGACATCATTGTCCTCGCACAGGGGTGTGGGGGCGAGCGCAATACCTGCGAACTCGCGCATACAGATAGCGACGTTTGACGCCAGAAACTTGGAGTCGATCTCCGAATCCCCGCAACAGTACGCGACTTTCCGAGAACATTGAGTAAGTTGCGAGCAGACATATAGATTGCTCCTGGGTTTCAAAACCAGCGAACAGCTATCAAGGGAGGCCTATAGTGTCAGGCTTATTGCCCTGGTCGTCGGAGAGCTTTAAAACCCATCCCACAGTTCAAATACGCTGAGAACCCAGACACTCGTCAACGCGCCTACGAATCCTACGAATCCCGTCTTGCAATCAACGAACCTCTCCTAACGAAAGTTCTCGATCTTCGTCGTCGTATCGCAAAACTCTTGAAGTATCAGACTTGGGCGGACTATGTCACGGAGGTTAAGATGGTGAAGACATCTAAGAATGTTGAAGAGGTTCGAGTCCCACCACCATCGCCTTCACTAATCCATCCCATTGATGACATTGCATTTGGCAGTTCCTTGCAGACCTTGAACAGAAACTCCGGCCAGTGGGCCTCCTCGATCGAGAACGTCTTCTCGCCTTGAAGAAAGAAGAGCATGAGAAGAAAGGTCTTGCATTTGATGGAGAATTCTATCTCTGGGATTACAGATACTACGATCGCGTCTACATCGAACATACTCTCGATCTCAACGATGCTCTCGTTAAGGAATATTTCCCCGTAACCGTCGTGGTGCCAACGATTTTGGAGATTTACCAGAATCTGTTGGGGGTGAAGTTTGAGGAGATTAAAGGAGAGACTTGGCATCCTGGTGAGTGTCGTGAACCAGTGACCGACGCGAAACTGATGACAAGTAGAGGTTCAACAATTTGCGGTTTGGCGAGACAACGCAAAGTCCGAGGATGATTTCGTTGGGTATTGCTATCTCGATCTCTTCCCCCGCGGTACGTCCCTTCTTCCCCTTCCTCTCTGGTACGCTAAGCCATGGTCCCCATTCCTTGCTGTCATCATTCCAACTTCAGAATCGAAACACTCCCATGCAGCTGTATGGTCGCTCCTCCCAGGCTACGATCGTGCGGATGGCAACCGCAGCTACCCTCTAGCAGCCATGGTAGCCAACCTTGCCAAACCCACTGCAGAGAAACCCGCCTTAATGAGGCACGATGACGTCGTGACCTTCTTCCATGAGATGGGTCATGTTTTCCATGGCTTGTTGAGTCGGACAACGTTCGCGAGGTTCCACGGCACTAGGTACATTGGACTGTCTACCTTTGCTCACGAACAAAACTGATGACATCGGCGTTCATAGGGTTGCGAGGGACTTCGTGGAGGCCCCAAGTCAGATGTTGGAGAACTGGTGGGTGTAGTTAACGCTTCCATCGACAAGTTTCTAACATGCGACATGGTTGGGCGTTTGACCAGGTGCTGGGAACCGAGAGTCCTTGAGAAAATGTCAAGCCACTACCAAAGGAAGGAGCCACTTTCTAAAGAGTTGATCGAGAAGATTATCAAGAGGTAATAGTGTCCATGCCTCGTGGATAAAGACGCCTCCTTGATAAATGCGACGGTCTTTTAGCCGATATGTGAACATCGGCTTGTTCTACCTACGTCAACTCTTCTTCGGCAAGTTCGATATCAAGGTGCACACGGACAAGGGTGGGTGGCAATTTGTGATGTTCATCTCCGTCCGAAGCCCTGATTCAGACTCCCGCTCTTCCCCTTCAGACGCCTCTGACTACACTGCACTTTGGAACGGGTTGAGGGAGTCGGTCTCCCTAGTTAAGGGTGGTAAATTAACCCCTGGCCAAGCAACCTTTGGACATATCACTGGAGGGTATGATGCCGGATATTATGGGTATGTGCTTTGCCTGTAGGTTTGTGCCAACTAACTGGTTGGTCGATTCCCCTCAGGTACATGTATTCCCTCGTCTTCGCAGCCGATATGTACGCTACCGTATTCAAAAAGGATCCCCTCGATCCTAAACTCGGACAAAAGTACGCCGAATGCATATTGCGACCGGGTGGAAGTAGGGAAGAGACAGATTCACTCAAGGTATGTGGGCTGGGAACTTCATTGGGAGCAGGATTTTCTGATGACCATGACTCATCTTTTAGGAGTTCCTCGGTCGACCACCGAATTCCGATGCGTTCCTGAATGCACTCTTTGGGATTGCAGGGAAGGCTGCGCCTCCCTCCAGTCTTTGATCTAATTGATTTTGTTGCACACTACCGTTTCTCGAGTTGGCAAGCCTGGGTAAGAGGTATTCAACGGGCGTTTGTCTAGCGAAAGTCTGTATACCGCCAGCCAAAACAGGAAGTTCAACCTAACACGTGCCAGAAGGCCCTGCATCGACTCGCAAAGCTATGAACATCGAGAGTCTCGATCGTGCGGTCTTTTGGTAGGAATGCAATCGAAGCCAAACGCGCTACCATTGCGCCAGGTAGCCATGATGGAACTGAGGGTCATTGGATCTCCGGTGGAGATGTTGGTCGGTTCTCCAAAGATCGACAGTCGGAGATTGGTGTAAAGGTGTGTTGGGAGTTGGGGTTTGATTCTTGAGATGGAGGGAACGATGATCCAAGTTCCCTGTTTCCAGGATACTCTGAAACATGCCTGGAGAGTAGAGAAGTCGTATAGGCTACGAGCTACCTGATATCACAAACGCGGCTATGAGGGCGAGAGAATGAGAATGGGAAGTGACTGATAAAAAATAACATGTCACTTGCACCCATAGCAGCGACTCGTCTCGATCGAGTGACCTTGGGGTTATGAGCCCCACGCGCTTCCGACTGCGCCACGATGCTATGTGTTACAAAAACATCTAGTTCGTGCACAAGTCTATGGGATTGATCTGTAACTGGGAAGGGGTCATGAAGAGGGGTGGGGAATCGGGGATGAAAGCAGAAGAACAGAATAGAGGAAAAGGAGGGGAAGGGGGGAGGGAAAACATACTTCCATTGGCATGAAAGGTCACATTGAGGACCCAAAGTACTACGGCCGCTCTACTGAGCGGAGGCGACGCTCCAACAGGCTCGGTAGCAAAAGGTGTCGCACTCTGCGCTTTTGAACGGAATGGGAGACTATGCTGAGGACGACGAGTAGGAGAAGGGGGGGGGTCGTAGAGAGGGACGTGGACGTACACAGGGGGAAGGAATGTACCAAGCGTGACGCCAATGACAGTGAAACTGTGAAAGGCATTCAACTCCGCGCTTGCCACTCCGCGTTGGGATTGAGCGGAGGTTGCCGGAGAGCTTCCCTTATCGGAACCCTAACCCAAATCATTTCGTCACTCTTCCTCGTCCATGGTCGTCGCACTCTCAGCAGCATCGTCTTCCCGCTGTGTGCGCACGAACCAGGCTCTGATTGGCTCGTCTAGGCTTGGACGTGATGCGACTGGCAGGATTGGACCAAGGAGGGCGTTCGGTGCCAGTGCTGCGAGGAGAGGACACTACGAGACTTTGGCTGTCCCCAGGAACGCTACAAAGTCTCAGATAAAGGTTCGTTCCCATTCCAGCTTTCTACTCCTTGCTCATCAATGCACTCATCCCTCGCAGTCGAGTTTCTACAAGGTTAGCATCGCTCGTGTCAACAGATCTAAACAGATCCCTGCTGAGCTTGCGAGCAGCTGAGCAAGTTGTACCACCCTGACGTCACCAAAGACCCCTCTGCAAAAGTGAAGTTCCAAGCCGCGAGCGAGGCGTATGCTATCCTAGGAGACGACAGGAACAGGTCCGTCCCCTCTCTCCCTTCCCCGCTCCCACTCATCCCTCCTCCCAGACGAGCATACGACCGTACCCTCACCTCCCAACTCGGTCACACACCCCACCCCCGCCACCCAGCCTCATCCCCAGACCACTCCTACTCCCATTTCTACTCTGGTACTTATGGCGGCTACGAAGGTCGACGTCGAGGTGCCACTTATGCCTGGGATCGTCCCGGTTCTTCCTCTTCCTCGTCTCATCGACCAGGTCAAAATCACAAAGGCGCGAGTAGTAGTGGGACAGCTGGGGAAAGACCGGAGGAAGCGTATGGTCACTGGAAGTATGATACATCCCAACAAGCAGATCCCCGCACAACACATTTCTACGATCCATTCTCCTCGCCGAACGTCCAGCGCGCTACTGGCACACGTGCTGGTTCATCCTCCTCCTTTACAGGAAGCAGATACGCAGGTTCTTTTTCATCACGTACGACTGGAGGCACAAACTTTGGTAGAAGACATAACACACAAGGATCTGGTATGAGTCCGGAAGAAGAGAGGCTGCATGCTGAACACGATCAGATTAGGAGTGTTAGTAGTTTTTGGAGGGCGGTTCAGGTCGGTGCTATGGTCCTTTTAGTTGTTGGTGTTGGCGGTGGGTCGACTGCGAAAGCGGGGTAGCGGACGTTGGTGGCATATACGACGCGAGTACACTAAACCCCGCACATCTGTATACGAGTACATTAGGGAATCACGGTCGAGACGCTCTGGTGTAGCAATGACCAACACGGTTTCCGCGTTGAAAGGATTCGAAATACGGACTAGTCCAACACGAGAGCGATAGAGGAGTGCACACGGCCAACAAAGTCAAAGCGCCCTAAGTATTTCACCGTCTAATTACAGCAATAAATCATAATCTAACCGTCTGCACGGCCCCCAACACCATTCATTCCTCGACGGACCAATCCCATAAAACTTCAACTGGCGACCTTCAACCCTATCAATACACACTCCTTGATCGGCGCGCCCGTGAGCGTAGTCTCCACGTCCACACTCTCGAGAATAGCCAGGCCATCAGGATAGTTCTCGATAACGAACAGCTTCGCAAGAGCCGGGTTGGCAGTATAGACGCAAGCCGCCAAGTAATACAGGTCGCCCGCAGTTGTGAGAGCTACCAACGTATCGCCGTTGGTATCGGCGCCGAGGGTGGTGAGAGGGACGAGCGTGCTGTACGGGTTGAGTCATCGAATGAGTGGTTGAAAGAAGTAAGCAAGGGAAGAATGACTTACACCGCAATCGACGTCAAAGGGAATGTATCCTCCCCTCCCAATCGAATCCTACTCACACCATACGCAGCCAACTCATCACTATAAACATGCAACAACCTCCCCGTGTAATCTCCCCAAATCGGCTCAGGACCCGCTGGGTCATCATCTGCGGGCGTACTGGCCAAGAAGAATCCACTAGTATCCAATCCGTCCCGCTTCTTTTTCTGGGACGCAGGGTCGGAAGAAGTGGCAATGGTTTGGAGGAAGATGTTCCCATTATCAGAGACGAACGCGTACAGAAGCCCATCAAGACTCTCTATTTCTGCCACAGGTCCGTCATAGTCGGACGTGACGGTAGTGGTGTTGGTCGCGTCAACGGTGCTGTTGGGAGGTGAAGCGTCGTATGGATCGGCGAGTGAGAGGTTCGTGGGTACCAAATTTTGGTCCGTCAGATCTTGGAGACCGACGAGGACGTCAAATGTGGAAGGATCGTATGTGTAGGTTGGCGACCCAGTTTCAGTTGGGATAGTAAGAGTATACAAGGAGGTTGGTTGGCCGGAATTGTCGGTGGGAGTGGGAGTGGGGGTTACAGAATCTGTCCCATCGCGTTTCTGAGCCCTTCGGCGTGAACGAGACCACTTTATGGGTGTTAATACCATTCTACTAAGCGGAGAGAAAGTAGAGATCAAACGTACAGAAGGATCAGGGTCGCTCCCCTCACTTCGCCTGGCCGGGATCCCTTTGGTGAGGAGGATAGCACTATCAACCTCAAATACTTGTGTAGTAGGGGTAACACCGGCAGGCTTGATGTAACACGACGGTTGTCCATCCGCGTAGCGGTACGGGACAAAACTAACAGAACCGCAAGGGGTCTCATATGAAGGAATGGCTAGGTTGTACTGGGAGCACTTGTCGATGCAAGCTTGGACAGAGGGGACGCCAACGTATGAAATCATGTCGGATCCAAAAAAGTCGAGATTGTAGTAGATTTGATATGTGGAATTGTCAACGGGCGACCGGTATTGATTCGTGGGTGTCGGCGTTGGCGAACTGGACCTGCGGTAAGGTTAGTTGTGGAATGAGGACCCCGGTGAGATGGAGTTGGTACGAACGTTGTGGTGGTGGATGTGGTGGAATTTGTGGCAGTGGGTGAGGGAGTGGGAGCCGCAGTGTCACACCAACTGTTGAAGACGGAGTCAATCGATGTCAAGAAACAGGGGAGACTTTCGAGACGGTCGCCACTCACCCAGCAATAGTCGACGTAGTGGTATAAAATGCCCACGACGCCGAGAGGTGCTCCGCAGACACGAATCCTTGTTTAACGTTCTTTGGAAAAAAACATGAGGTCAACGCGTGAATGGAATAAATACATGCGAACATACCTGGAGACCAATGCTGAGACCTTGGCAATTGAAATCTCGGTGCGCGAGCGGAACGATATCCGAAGAGGACGTATTGCTCGGCGCGGCATCGATAGTAGGTACATCCCTCCTCCTGAGCGGAAGCTCGAAGCCATCAGTCAGCGTAGCTTGGAGCGACTCCTTAAACCAAGGACCGGCCTCCAATGAAAGCTTGTTAGTTAGGAGAGGGAAGAAATCCAGCGCCAATGGTAATCCGAAAGTCATGGACGCCTCCGCTGTCATCGTCATTGCCTCGCCGATGTTGACGAATGGGGTGAAGGAGGTAGGATAGAGACCAGTTCCGTTGGAATTTACAGGTGAGACCAGGTCGATCGTAAGTGAGAAGCTCTTATCCCAGGTCACATTGAATCCGAGGCCAATATAGCCATCGACTTCATATGTGAAAGCCACTTCCGATTTCATTTCGAACGTTGGACCAATGGTCACGATGCCAGGGATCGCGATGGCCGGTACGAGTGGGATTGGTTGGTATTCATGCTCGAAGCTGAGCTTCAATTGATCTTTCATAAGGAGCCCAATCTCGACGTGGAGTTCCATGGGGCCCGACAAAGTGAGAGTCGCCGCGGTGAGGATTCCTGGGAAGGTGTATCTCATCGTTCCAACGACCTCCATATCACCCTGAAGTTGGCATTGGACACAGAAGGCGGTAATCGAAACCGTCTCGTTGGGTCCGACAGTCTTGTTGTAGTCAAACATCTTGAATCCATCGCTGTTCAGTGTCAGAGCGACTTCGAGAAGCGACCAAGACAATTATCTCACCCAAATACCGACTCAGTTGTCGGCAACAAGGAGGCAGGTGGCAGTACCATTTGCCAGTCGGTGTTCAGAGGAGTGATGGAGATGGACGGTAGTACAGCAGCAGCAATTTGAAGCGGTAGATCAGCGACAGCTGGGTGAAAAAATGGTGGGCAATAGCTACGAATTCAGGTGGGATGAGGACGACGAACCAGCAGTAGTTTTGATAGCGTCGATAACTAGGGTGGCGGAAGCCCTGCCTATGGCGACGGATGCTTTTGCGGTGGCTGACGCAATGTTTGAGAATTTACCAGTCTTGACG